TTGTTCCGTATTTCCTTTTCTGCCTTTATTATATACAGCATACAGGTTGTACTGTAGGTGACCTGCCTTAGTCTCGTCACTACTTCGTCGAGGTTAGGCTTGGCACTTACGGAGTAGATGGGGTCAGTTGTACTCATACTACACTCTGCACTTCTTGTGTAGATTTTAGAGTCGGTCTCAGCGGCTGTTATTAGCATGCTCGAATTGGACATCTTGTGGAGACTTGAGGTACAGTTGCTTAACACCCGCAACTCTTGGAGTCCTCTTCCCTTTTTTATTTGGTTGTGTACTTCAGGCAGCTTTTATTTTAGCTCATGCACTTGTGACGCCGGGTCCAGGGTTGTATGAGACGTTTGGTTGTTCTAGCTTCTACATTTTTACTTTGGATTATTGCAGTTATTTCGGTTCTTTCTCATTAATTAATTTTAAACTGTTAAAAATGGATAAATGTTCTAACGTTGGCTCGCCTAGCAAGTGAAATATTAGGCACCATCACGATCCTGGTGGTGGGAATTCCGGGTCGTGACACTAATATTTACACGAAATAATAACAACATTAACGAACATCTGAAAATTTGAAGATATAAATCTTTATACAAACTTACTATCCCAAAACCGGTAGTACAAGTCATAAGCTCTACTATGTTTTTCTAAAAAGCCTAAAAATACAATTGTTTCGAAATAGAGATAAAACAGTGCAAATTCAAAATCAGAAGTTGAGTTCGAAGCCTGCAAACGCAGCAGCAGGTTTACCTTGAGTCTCCACAGAAAAATCCCTACAGCTAGCAAACGGAGGACTGACTCCGATATACCTGGATCTACACAAAAATGTGCAGAAGTGTAGTATGAGTACACCACAGCGGTACCCAGTAAGTATCAAGATAAACCTCAGTGGAGTAGTGACGAGGGACAGGCAAGACATCTACTGGACTAGATAACCTTGACAAGATAAGTGGAGAACTAACAGATTACGATATCTCTAGAAAACTACGCATAGTGACAATAATAGTATAGTGCTTGCAATAAGAAATATAAGCAACAATTAACAGCGGAACACAATAAGTAATAACACAGTAGAGTAAGTTGAACACACTTTAAATCCGGTGAAAACAAATAAAGGAAGGACAAGTAGCAACTCGGCAATAATAACCGCTTTCACACCAGGTTTATCCAATAATCTCAATGAGGTACCAAACCTCAAAATATTCACAAGTCACCGGTCCCAATGCGTGAACCCTAAACACTTGGCATCTTGTGCCCTCATTACTACTGGTAACTGCATGGACGACTCACGTGCCAATAGAACCATGCTCACATAGAAGGCAAGTAGACAAGGGTGTGCAGGACGGATCAATAGCATGAGGATCCATCTTCTTAAACCGATGGGGGTGATTAACTATGTGTATGTTTGTGCAAGTGTTCTATCACAATTAAATTCAACAAGTAAGAGTAAAGATAATGAATGACACATAAGAGATGATCACCGCGAAATGTACATGGTATAGCTCACACCGGGTAGGCACGCCACTACACAAATAACAATAATAACAATGCCCCCAGGCCATCACAAGTCACCACAAATGATTCCCTGACATAACCCACCTTGTCTCGCCACATGCGCAATAATAAAGTAAATGCCCGCCTTGTCTCGCCACACATGCATAATAATATTCCTACCTTGTCTCGCCACATGCGCAACCCACATATATAGACCGCCTTGTCACGCCGCATGTGCACATATCAATAGTAATAATAGCACGGCAGAAACCTCGTGCAACACAATAACCACCGCACGGCAGAGACCTCGTGCTTCACGATGACAACCGCACGACAGAACCTCGTGCAACACAATAACAACCACACGGCAGAAAAATATCATGCAAAACAATACTGAGTACAACAGCAACAATGACAATAACACAATAGTACGGCAAGTAAATCAACTCAAGAGCTTTCGAACACAAAGGAACGGTAGAACAAGTTCACAAAGAATAAACACAATAGAAAATACTAGTCACAATAAGAATAGCTCAACATGGAAGAATAATATGTAACAACGATCCCACAAAGTACGATTCAACAACAAGGGAGATAACACAAGTCAACAATTCCAAATAAGGATAAGTCAACTAAGATAAGGATAACAAAACTTCTTTTTGGGTTGAGCAATTACGAAAGAGATATAATAAATTCAATTAAGGGTAAGCAACAGAAAGATAATCATAACCTCAATTAAGGATGAACAATTACAGAAGAGATAATTATAATTCCAATTAAGGATAAGCGATTAGGGAGGGATAGCATGGCAACAGAAGACGTAACGACTTTAGTTAAGGAACATAAGAGTCAAATAGGCAATAAGAGTGGATCATGAAGGAATTAATTCCAATTAAATCACGTAAAAATGGAAATAGTAAATGGGAAACTTAATCATAGCAAAATAACTCCATATCTAATGAACATAAGAACATAAGAGCCCTAAAAGGTCAACCTTCCACAAATAAGCCCGAGCACGTACTCGTCACCTCACGTACACGGACTTCACATGACACAATTAGCATAAAAGAGTCAAATCCTAAGGGGTAGTTGCCCCACACAAAGTTAGGCAATATACTTACCTCAAAGAAGATAGAACGTTACTCTAAAATGAACTTCTCGAGTGAAATAACCTCCGGTCGGCTCAAATCTAGCCAAAATAACTTCAAAGCATAAATAAAACTCATAAGAAACTATTCCAGATAATAAAGCATCAATCTCTATCAAAAACTAAAAATCAACCCAAAAGTCGACTCCCAGGCCCGCACCTCGAAATCCGACAAATTTTACAAAACCCGAACATCCATTCCGGTACGAGTTCAACCATACTAAAATTATCAAATTCAGATACCAATTCATCCTTCAAATCATCATTTTACACATAGAAAGTTTTCTTCAAAAATCCTCATTTTCCTCAACTCAAAACACTAATTAAATGATAAAAATAAAGAAAGAATCATGGAATATAATAAATTCTAGGTGAAGAACACTTATCCAAATGATTTGCTTGAAAAACCCACGAAGAATCGCTCAAACCGAGCTCTAGATATCCAAAAATGATAAAAATGGCGAACCTTCGGAATAGAGTACTTTTATATTCTATCCAGGTGTTTGTGTATCATGATCGCGGAAGAACTAATGCGATCGCGTAGAAGAAAAATGGCTACTGCCCAAAATGTACTATGCGATCGCGTAAGAACACATGCGATTGCGGAGTGAAAGAATTACCAGTTGCCAAGGTCACACATTGCGATCGCGATAGAAAAGGTGCGATCGCGATTAAGGAAAAATCACTGCCCAACTAAAGAGCACTATGCGAAGGCGACAGAATGATGCGAACGCGGAGAAGACAAAACACATACTTACACGATCGCGGACCAATCACTGCAAACGCGAAGAAGGGAAAATGGTCAGTCCCAGCACAGCCTATGCGAACGCGACTTGAACTTCGTGATTGCACAGAAGAGAACACCAGATATCGGAACAGCAATACCGAACAAGGAGAAAATGGCCCGTAGCCTATCCGAAACACCCGGGGCCCCCGGGACCTCAACCAAATATACCAACACATCATAAAATACGATACGAACTTAGTCGAGGTCTCAAATCGTATCAAAAAACGTCGAAACTATGAATCACACCATGAATCGAACTCATGATCAGCATTCAAATCTTCCAACTTTTAAAACTCGCATCGAAACCTATCAAATCAACCCGGAATGACGTCAAATTTTGCATGCAAGTCCCAAATGATATAACGGAGCTATTCCAACTCTCGAAATCACATTCTGACCCTAATATCACCAAAGTCAACTCTTGGTCAAACCTCTCAACCTTCCAAACTTCAACTTTTCAAACTTTCGCCGAAATGCTTCAAATTACCCTACGGACCTCCAAATCCAAATCCGGACACACGTCTACGTCCAAAATCACCATACGAAGCTGTTAGAATCATCAAAATTCCATTTCGAAGTCATTACACCAAAGTCAAATTCCGGTCAACTCTTACCGCTTAAGCTTCCAAAACTAGAATCCTTCTTCCAAACTGATTCCGAATCATCCGGTAAATGAACTCGGTCACGCACACAAATTATAACACATAATACGAAGCTGCTCAAGACCTTATGCCGCCGAACGAGACTTTAGTTCTCAAAACGACCGGTCGGGTCATTACTTTAATGCATGCATTAGCTTATTTAAAGACAAAATTGTCCTTCAAAATTTATGCTTAATTAAATATGCTATTATATTAATGCAAGTTTGAAATAAGCGAAATAGTGAGAATAAAATTATATCCCTAGTAAATAATTAACTACTTAGCATATTTTATTTTTTATAACTAAATATTCGGTTCTATACTACAATATAGGTATACAAATCAAATCTTTTTTTAAATACATTTTTCATATAAAAACATTCCTCAACATATGTTCTTTTTATAAGATAGAGTGATGAACTGGTTTTGAGGGCATTTTCGTAAATAAATAATTCTTTTAGAAATTGTACAATGCTTCAATTCATCAAACAAAACAATGGATAAGAAATATGTCATCATAACTAATGTCAGCCTAACTAATACCAGCATTACTAATACACGTTATGCAGCATTATTCTTATGCACCCTACCAAACGACGCCTAAGAGTACTTTCTTTTCATGTTGTAAATAGAGTTTTTTTTTGTGTGTGTGTTTCAACAAAATTTGTGTATTCTTTTCATGATGTAAAAAAGTATTTTCTTTTATTTCAACAAAACGTGTACTTTTTTTTCATGATATAGAAAAAGTATTTTCTTTCATTTCAATAAAACTAGTAATTTCTTATCATGAAGTTGAAAAAGAATTTTCTTTCATTCAACAAAATACGTAATTTTTTTTTTCTATGTCGTAGAAAATTATACTTTCACTTTCAACAAAAATAATATTTTCTTTACGTTGTTAAAAAAGTTTCCACTATAAGAAGGCTTGAACTCTTGAGAGCTTTGCAACAACCCTGCATCACATTTCCATTTAGCCTTTCTCTCCTTTCCATTGTAGTTTGCAAACATGGGTTCCCAATCTGCTGCCCTGCAAGTTAAAATCTTATCCACAACGTTCATAACACCATCCTCACCAACCCCAAATCACTTACAAAATTACAAGTTATCTTTCTTTGATCAAATAGCTGAAGATGTCCACTTGCCTCTTGTTCTTTTCTATCCACCAAACGAGAAAAACTCCACTACGGATGAACAACTAGAAGAATCCCTATCTAGAGTATTAACCCATGTTTACCCGATAGCTGGTAGATTTACAGAGGATTTTTGCTCCATAAATTGCCTTGATCAAGGGGTTAAATTTGTAAGGGCAAATGTCAATAGTAAGCTCGATGATTTTCTTGAGCAAGCACACAAGGATGTTAGTACAGCACTACTTTGTTGGCCTCACGATACTTGGACTGTTGATCAAGATAATTTAGCTATTACACCTCTTGTTATCGTCCAAGTAACAAGATTTGAATGTGGTGGTATAGCTCTGTCAATGAGCCACGCCCACATTGCAATGGACGGATTCTCGAGTCTCTCTTTTTTGTACGAGTGGTCCAAAGTATGTAGACTCGGAATTCCCACAAAAGAAATCAATTTCCTGCGCTTTAATTTGGGTGAAATTTTCCCTACAAGGGATTTATCTAAGCTTTTACTGCCTCGTATTCCTGGAGAGAAACGTGCAGAAAGCAAACTGGTCGCTAAGAGGTTATATATTGATGAATCTGCTATATCAAAGCTAAGAGAAGAAATGACAGGTTTGAGTTTCAAACCTACGAGAGTCGAGATGATTACAGCAGTTTTATGGAGGGCTTTGATCCGTGCTTCGGAAGCGAAAAACATAAATATTAGGCGTTCTTTAATGGGAATCCCAGTCAACTTGCGCAGTAAGATCTCTTTGCCTCAAATTGAAAAGTGTTTTGGTAATCTTGTAGTTGATTCTCCAGTAAAATTTGTACCGGTGGAGACCAAGATGGAGCTGAATAACTTGGTGGCATTGATAAGGGATACAGTGCAGAAAACTATTGAGTATTGCAACAAGGAATCACCAGATGAGATAGTCTCTGCGGTTGCTCATTTATACAATGGAAGTTTTCTGGCAAATGAGTGGGGAGCCAGTAATGAAGTTGACGCGTTTACGTGTTCAAGTTTGTGCAGGTTTCCTATACTAGGAGCTGATTTTGGTTGGGGGAAACCTTGCTTGATGCATTTTGGATCCAGGCATAATCAAACTTGTTGGTTGTATGATGCAGAGTGTGGCAATGGTGTCTGTGTGCAGGTGGATATCAAGGAAAGTTACATGCGCTTCTTTGAATGCGACCAAGATATCAAGGCTTATTTTAAGTGGTGATGAATCAATATTTTACTTCAATCTTTTGTTTGTTTTAATATTTTTACTTCAATGTTTTGTTTGTTGGCAATAAAGAAAAAGTTCCCTTTGTAATGTCTTATGAACTCCAATTATGTGTCACGGGAAATTAAGTTACTGAGTTTTGATCCCTCAACCTCTCCTAAAGAACTAAGGCGCTTCGCCACCAGCCTAATCCCTTGAGTTTGCTTATTATTGATATCTTTAAATCCCAGTTAAAATCAAAAAACACATTTGTGGTTCGGTTTTCTTATTGATCAGTTAAAAGTCAAAAGAAAATTCTGGTAATGATGCTAGATACGGAGAAGCTGGTCATTATTATTTAGCACATGCATTGATTTTCTTTCCACAAATATCATACCATCTATAAATTAAAGGTCTAAAACTCTAGGGTTGTGACGGGCATTTAGCGAGAAGTTTACCTATTAAATAAAGGGAAATTACCAGCTATGTCCATTTATAAGTAGCTCATTACAAAAATTGGCCAATTGATAAAATATTACTAATATTAGCCAAATTAGCCAATTAGCTATTTGAAGCAAAAAAATATCAAATTTTTGCTTTGTTTTGAGTAGGTGTTATTAGAATAGATTGGGCACAACTTAAGGAGCTTGAATCTCAATTTTGGGATGATTTGGTGAAGTTTTGAGGTGGTTTGAAAAATTCGACGTAAAAACTGAAAATGAAAAAAAAATGATATGTGTATCACATTGTGTATCACATATGTATCATATTTGTATCAATTGTGTATCACATGTATATCCATGTATACCTGTGTGTGAGATACATGTGTGATACATGTTTGATACATGTGTCGCAGAAGATTTTTTTGAACTCGATTTAATTACGAATTTTGATACAAAACCAGTCCAAATCACTTTCAATCTTCCTCAAATTTTGTATATTGACTTATCTATATATTTTCAATGAATTTCAACTATACCCATTGAAAAAATTCCTTTTTTGCTTAGATTTTTGGAATATTGTATATATTTTTGTATTTCATCACCTTATTTGCTACCCGTCCATGAAATTTCCTTTCCGTCTTATATCTAATGTTGCTAATCACGCTTAAAAATATGGAAGGTGATTTTTGCATGTGATTCTTTGAAAGAAAGAACCTTATTATTTGGTGTTTCAATTTTTGTTGGCTAGTTTTGGTAAGTTTATGACTAATGGCTAGAGGTTGGTAAGTTGAGATTTATTTGGGACATTTTTGTAAGTTTCCCTTTAATAAATCTTAAAAGCTCTAAGCATCAAGCATACATGAAGCCCATGGCAGAGCCACAATCAAGGAAGGGTCCAATTGAATCCCTTTGTTCGGAATATGGGCAATATGGATCTCGAAAAGTTCGGAAGCATTTTGGAACCCGTGGTGACTAACTAAAAGCATTAAGTTAAGAGAGTTGGCCAATGTTAATATTTGGTTTAAGCGAGCTTAGGTTCATAATTGAAAGGTTTTAATAGGTTTGAATGATAATTTTGGACATTTCTGTATGTCCGCTTGGGGTTCGAGAGGCTCGAGTGCAGTTCAACACTATTGCATTAATGTTGGAACTTGATGGTTTTTCAGAAGTACATAAGCTGGTTTGGAGCTTGATTCTTAGTTGTGATATTTTTGTATGTGCTTTAATCCTTTGTATAAGGCCATATAGGTTATTTGGACTTGTCGAGATGGCTTGGAGGAGTACCAGTGGGTTCCGGTGAGTTTGTGCGCGATCGGAGCATGTCTTGATAGAGTTGACAGCTGATAGGTCCAATCGACAACCTCATATGTGGACTTCAAAATCGGTATGCGAACTGCAAATAACTAGGTAGCTAAGGCTGAAGATATGGATTGATCTGATCTACGACTCGGTTCACGAACCACCGAACCAATATGCTAATTGCAGACCTAGTCTATAGATCTCTGGGCAATTTTTTGAATGTATAATGAACCGACCGGTCATTTTGACCTTTAGCATTTCGTTCGGCGGTTTGAGACCTTATGTAGTTTTATATGATGCATTATGCCTTGCGTTGTGATGACCGATATGTCATTTTGAATACTAGCCTTGATTTTTGTATTTCTAGACCTCTCATAGTTTCATTCGCTATTTATTGATTTGTTTGCATGGTCTATGTCGCTTTTCGGAAAGCTTTTACGTGAATTTTTAAAGAATTGTAATTTTTGACTTAAAATGAGGCTAGAGTTGACCACAGTCAATATTTTTGGTAAACGACCCCGTATCGGTGTTTTGTCGTTTTGGTAGGTTCATATGATATTTTTGGACTTATACGTACATTTGTTGGGGTCTAGGGTGACACAAACGCATTTCGATGGGTTATGCGAACGTTGGCAAAAAGTTGAGTTTTAAGTTGAAATTTAGAGTTTGGTGATTGATTCTTATTATTTGATGTTATTTTATGATTTTAGGTAGCGAACTAGTTTGTAGGATATTGTTACACTTGTGTGCCTATCCGGTTTGCAGTCCGAGTGGCTCAGATGAGTTCTGGAAGTATTTTGGAGAGTTTGAATTGCTGATGCTTGTTGCTGGGGTCTTAGGTCTCCAGGTCTCGCATTTGCGATGACCTATTCGTAATTGCGAGTCCGCTTTTGCAAAGCTGGACTCATAAATGCGATATGTGGCAGGGTTGTTGACATCGCAAACGCAAAGATATGGTCGCATTTGCAGACAGATGGTGGTCACATTTGCGACCTTGGACTCGCTTTTGCGGCTTGGAGCTAGGGGCTGGCAACTTTGCAAATGTGAAGCTCAGCTCGCATTTGCGATGTAGGGACTATTCGTATTTGCGAGATTTTTGTCGCATTTGCAACGTTTGAATATCTGATGCACTGATCGCATTTGCGGTTAGTGTTTCGCATTTGCGGTCATCACAATTACGAACAAGAGTTCGCAATTGCGACGTCTGCAGCTGGGTAAAAAAGGAAAAAATTGGGACAGAGATCATTTTTCAGCCCTAAACACTCTAGAGGCAAATTTTGAAGAACTTCTCCTCCCCAAATTCATTGGTAAGCAACTCTAATTCATTTTTTATCAATTCCTTATTACTTTTCATAAATTTTTAACATAAATCAATGAATTTCATGGTAGAAATTAGGAGTTTTGTGTAGAATTTAGGAATTTTATAAAATTGTGATTTAGACCTCAAATTGAGGTCGTATTTCGAAACAAATCATGTATCCAAGCTCGGGTGAATGGGTAATCGAAAGTTGGACCGAATCTTGGATCAAGCGAGCCCTGGTTTGACTTTTGTTGACTTTGTAAAAAATGATCAAAATTGAAGCTTTTTCATTCTTGGGTAGTTTCTAAAGCTTAGTTTGAATTGATTGATCAATATTGACAAGATTCAGTCGGTTTGGAGGCTTGTTCAAAAGAAAAACTGGTAATGATTGTGATTTTATTGCGGAAAGAGATAAGTGATGTGGTTAACTTTGACTTGAGGGAATTAGGACTTGTTTGGTCTATTGCTATATGAACTATGTATGGGGACGATATATACGCAAGGTGACGAGTATATATATGTTGTCATGAGGTAAAGCATGCTGGTGAAATTTATCTCATTTGTACCATGTTATTTCATTTGCTATGCCTTCCATGTCTTAGTTAGATTGTTTATTCTTTAATTGTTCGCTTTTGTATTTATTGCTCATGTTGAGGTCATGGTGATATTGAAAGTTGAATTTGGTTATTCTACCGGCATTGTTGAAGTTAAAATTTGCTTCCCAACATGATTGATACTTTGGGTTATTATTATTGCTTGGTGAGCAAGAGTGAAAAGCACGAAGGGTGTTGCCGTGCCATATTTGCATATTGATATTATTGCTTGAGTGAACGTGAGGCTAAAGCACGAAAGGTGATGTCGTGCCATTGCTTATACATTATCATATGAGAAAGAGAGCAAAAGCACGAAGGGTGATGCCGTGCACATACTTTCCATTATCATATCATGCGAGGATGAGAGTAAAATAATGAAGGGTGATGCCGTGCGCATACTTTACTCATATTATATAGTGAGGATAAGAGTAAAATACGAAGGGCTATGCCGTGCAATTTGATAATTTTATTGCTTTTACTTGATACTTGGATTGTGAATATAGCTTGGCCATTTCGTTGCTTATTTTGGAAAGAGACATACTTGATGATTCTGTACATATTGATCCGGTTGTTGCCCCTTTCTTTTGCCCCACCCCGTTATTACTATTAAATGTTTTATTTGTACGTTGCTTTATATATATATATATATATATATATATATATATATATATATATATATATATATATATATATATATATATATATATATANATATATATATATATATATATGCATAATTTTTTTATAGGTATCTTGTCTTAACCTCGTCACTATCTCGTCGGGGTTAGGCTCGACACTTACTAAGTACATTAGATCGGTTGTACTCATACTACACTCTGCACTTCTTGTACATATTTTGACGTTGGTACCAACAGAGTCCCGAGAGGTACTTAGCAGCTACCAGTCAGTGATTCGAGGTAGAGTCGCATTCTGTTCGTAGACCTTGGTGTAACTTTCCTTCTTCTTGTACCATTTCTATTTATTTCGGACAGTGCTGTACTTCCTTCAAATCTTGTATTTAGCTGGATTTAGTCGTTCATGTACTCGTGACACCAAATTCTTGGGGTGGTTTATGTTATGTCTTTTGATCAGTTATTAGATATTTATTGCTTTTCCTTTTCATATTATCTGTTATGTTGACTTGGCTGTCATTCGCTGTTAGGTGCCAGACGGCCCCACGATTGGAATTTCGGGTCATGGCATACGTGTATGGTTGATTTCGATATTTGAGAGGTTTAGAATTTACTTGGAAGAGTGATTTTTAATTTGGAAGAGGTGACCAAGATTTGACTTTTGAGTAAACGACCTTCAGGATTTGATGGTTTCAATAGGTTCGTATGGCGATTTAGGACTTAGGTGTATGTTCGGACTAGAATTTGGATGTTCCTAGAAGGTTTGACTCTATTTATCGTAATTAGAATTGAAGAATTCATAAGTTTAACCGTAAGTTGACTTTGGTGTTATCGGACTCAAATTATGATTTTGAGATTTTGTGTATGTTCATTTGGTGTATCAGAACTTGTGTGCAAAGTTTGAT